GTAGGTATCTGGAGGGAATCCTTGTGTTGGGAGATGACCGGAAGCGGCAGAGACTTGGCCGGCTCCTATTTTATGAAGTACTTGAGCTGCAATAGAGGCTTCAGATGCATTTCCCTCTCCACGGCCTGATCGAAACCCCGGTCGCGTACGTGCTTAATTGCGGCAAAATCGACTAAGGTGCGATGGTGGTGACCGGGGCGGCAAGGCTCGGGGATTCGGCAGCACAGTAACCGCATCATTTTCAGGAAGTGGAGCAGCTTCCGCCGCCGAGCTTCCGGCGATCCCGTTTGGCTGAGATTCTTGGGAAGCTTTGAAGTTTGAATGCAGAGGGTTAAGGAGGGTTTAGAGACTGCAGCCTGACTAGGAGGAAGGGAAGGGACAGTTGGCCAAAATGGTCACTTAAGTTTTGTGTTAATATCATATGATCACTTGACTAAACTTTTTATCAAATTCATCCACTAAAATTTTCATTTTGGATACTTGATATATAGGCATGTATTGAATTGGAACAAGCAACAAAATGCTATTTTTGTTTTAATAATAAGAAGCTAAAAACAAACGATTCAAGTATTCTCATTTCTCAATGAACTTTCAAACAACTTTGCTAAAAAATCAAATAAAAATAATCGCATTCCTTTCTCTCCTCTTTTATAGTGGCACGGTAGGCATAATTGCAAGTTTGGTCACTCGAATTGCTACAAAATTTTATGTTTGCCACTCAAATTAATTTATTCCATTCATGGTCACTTAAATTAGTTGAACCATCCAAGTTCGGTCACTCTCCGTTAACCTCCGTCAGACTTTGTTAGTGTCGTCAGTTAAGTGCTGAAATAGCTAACAGAGACGCTGAGTTGGCCAATTTTAAGCAAAAAAAAAAAAAAACTTCTGCCACATCATATAAGCAAACCCATGTCAACCCACACTCAACCCCCGACTAGACCCATGTTCTTGACACCTTCCTCTCGCCGAGACTCGGCTCCCCGCCCCAAACCCTCGTCACCGGCGCTGCTTCTCTGAAATCGAACTACCCCCAATCTCCAACAACCTCTGAAGATCCCAATCGCCACTGTCTGGTTTGAGTTCAGGGTTCGCGAGAAGCATCTGAACATCGAGACCCTTATTCAACAACATGTTCTTCAGTTCTTTCGACGAGAAACCCGAGTTTCCAACAGAGCTGAAAATTTTGGGTTTGCAAAGGGACAGCCCGGAAATTTCATCCCCAACTCGCCCACGCAAGAACCTTCCTCATTAAGCATTGCAGTCTACCACAAATCTCCCAAACTTCAATAACGTCACAATAACCAGATCTAACTATCTACACCAAAATCCAATAGTCAATCTCTGTGGCTCAAAAGCCTAATCCTCAACCAATGTACCAACAAAAACATCAGAGAACCAAAATTAAACCTTACAGCCACATGGCCAGGAATCAATTCAACCACACAACATATACTAGATCGAACAAACGACCGAGTAAGAAATTTGCGAATTGACAAAGAACAAGAAGGAAACCAGAAACTGACTGGTGAGATGGTGGCATGGGTTCTGGAGAGCCTCGAAAAGGAAGGAATCCACCAGGGACTCCTTGTTGTCGCCGATTTGAACGCATCCAATCCGAGCCTGAGCCTGAGCCTGTACGGTGACTGCGGCAACGACGTAGGTAGTGGTAGCATCCATAGCTCGTATGACTAGCGGGGTGAGAGATTTCTCCCAACTCCCCTCTTCTTCTGGTTCGATAGGTACGTTTTGCCTCCTTTCTCGCCTTTGTCTAGAGGAAGAGGGTAAGAGAGAAGAGAAGGGAGAGGAGGAATCGCTAAGAAGCAGTAGAATTCTTCTTCTCCATGGTTGCTGCAGCTGTGGCGGTTTCCCAAATTTAGAAGAGAGGTGGTGGTGGTGGAGATGGAGAACATTAGGATTGGGAGATGGAGGAGAGGCCGAAATCCAGTGGAGCCGGCGGAGGCAGGGGAGTCGCCATTGCCGAAACTCGGTCGAGCCGGCGGGACAGGGGATCTCGGTGATGTTTTGGGCTGTGGATTTTTGTAGGGAGGAGGATGAGGAACAAGAGGATAGGAGTGGGGGAGATCAGCGTAGGATCAGAGAAGAGGAGGCAGTGATGGAGGATCGAAGAAGAGAAGGGATTTGGGTCGGGTCAGTTTTGGGTTTGGTTACAAGTTGGTTTTTGTGACGTGGCAGTTTTTTATGATGTGGAGGGTCGAATTTTTAATTATTTTGGGTTAAAAGTGGGTGACTAGACATTTTCGTCAGCCATGTCAGCATTTAACTAACGTTGTTAACGAAGACCAACGGCCAGTGACTAAACTTGAACTACGAAATTAATTTAAGTGACTATGAATGGAATAAATTAATTTGAGTGACAAACGTGAACTTTTATAGCAATTCGAGTGACCAAACTTGCAATTAAGCCTTACACGGCCACAAAGTTGACTAGGAGGTTGATTAGAAATGAGATAATTGGAGAAGAGCTCAAACCTTAACCACTACCTTATCTCTTTAAATTCTTACAAAATTAATAGGTAATTTTTTATATATCTCAAAGTTGAGGTGAACTATATCCCTTCTGTATTCAGCTTAACTCTACCACTACTCTTTTCAATCGGCTCAAGATCTGAAATTAATATAGTACTAAGATAGCTATAATTTTTCCTTTATTTTTGAACCTCTACATGACTTGTAACCTCAATACCTCATTGACACTTGGGAAGAAGTGGGCTACAGAAACTAGGTAGTATGGTTCAATAACGGATCTTAAATTCGAACCATCGTATGTATTGCTTCAATATTCATAGTCCATTAAAAGATGATAGACGCTTTATCGCAACATCTTGAGTGAAGTGGGTTTGAGGGAACTGCCAAATTTTCTTAAGAGTACTTGGGGGTTTAAGAAGGTTGTGTCAAAGATAGACTTGTCTAAAACAAGTATTTTATTAGAAATTTGGGATTACTTAGAACTCACTACATTATTATGAAGGAACTATCGATCTCCATCATACTCTTAGCAGATTCAATATTGAACTTGATTATCGAAAAACAAAATTTGTATGAAATCTCGAACATTAGTATAACATTCTTCAATTTTGAGAGCACACTTTCATATTCCTACTATCTCTCTTGTTTATTGAGTATATTTGATAAATTTGGATTGAAAAATGTAAATTAGTTATTTAATGCATTTGGGTGTTGTACTACACCTACACTTATGGTTGGTGGATTGTTAATACATGAAATGAACTAAACTAAACATATATCATTAGTAAATCAATAAATATCAAAACAAATAACACAATCCTCCATCCTCCATTAATATATGGTAGAGTTTTGTGTACTTTTCTCCATTTCAAATTTCCTGCAATGATAGTGAAAGTAGGAAGGTCATTTTTGTCTTTACACATTTATTATTTATTTCATATAAAAATAGCAATATCAAGATTTGAACCCGGGTCTCTTCAAACAAAGATAACAATTACAACCAGTTACACTAAACAAATTTATTGTATCCTTTTTGATACAAAACATAGACAAAGTTAATCTCTGAAAATCAGAGGACTTTTTCATCATAATTAGCAAGCTCACTAAGTCTACCGTATGTATTTTTATTGAGCTTGATACTTCTATTTTTATAGTAGAGTTTCATGTAATTTTCTCAATTTTAAATTCCCGCTCTCACCTTAATTTTTGCTAAAGGTAAATGGGTAATTGGCTAACATGGAAGAAACTAATTATGTAACTACGTGTTGTATCCTTGCATTTTTCAATTTAAATTTTGTGATTTTTTATCTTTGTTCTTTTCTCTTTCTAACTTCCTCCAAAATTTCATCCTTCGTGCAATATTTTGCGCCTTTCACTTCGCAGTACAAGACTGTCATTGAAAATCAATCTTCAGGTATCTCTTGGCACTACTGTTTTATTGTTGGGGAATTTAACCTGGGCGAGTAGAAGATTTCAACTCCGATATCAATCCTTGGTGAATAGAATGGAGTTCATCAATAACTGGAGTTGTAGAAGGAGGATTAGAAATTGAATTTTTGGTTGAATATATGCCTCTTGAGATAGAAATTTGGTTGTACAACGGAGAGTGGTGGCTATTTGATCTTTAGGTTTATGGTTTTTACAATTGTCACAACCTATTTCTATCTTAAAACGAGGAATCATTGATTGATTGTTTGAAATAGGTCGCTTTTTTATTCAACCTACTGGAACTAATAGATAAGGAGTGTCTAATTTTGCGCCTTATTACTTTGATCGAGTCTATTCGTATATTGGAGATAACCCTGATTTTTTCGTCTGCTCTCAAGTTGTGATGGTCCCCTCTTAGCTGAGTTTTTAGTATATAGATGACTTGAATCAACAACTCTCCATTTCTTTTTGATTTGTGACATATTGTTTCTAAAAGCAGAGCATTTAACCCTTTATATAGGATTGTGAGGTGTAAGATTTAGTTTGAAACTATATATGGGTCGTGTGAGAATTTCAGTGAGCTTTTATACTCTATATTTCTTGACTGTAAAATAAAACTAACTAACAGGGACTTAATTAGCATTATGAAAATGGCGTCAATATACATTTTTCTATTTTATATTCTTAAATGATTATGATATTTCTCCGAATGTTTGACCTATATATTATTTCTTTATGTATCATCTCGATCGAATGATTATCAATAAGATTAAACGGGCTAATAGACTTAAAAGTAACAAAAAATACAAATAATCAAATATGAGCATTCCGGCCAAAGGGCCGGGTATAAGTCAGTATATATTTATATCTCAATGCTCCCTCTTGTCATATTTGAATAAGAATTTGCTCTAGCCACTTCCTCATCAATTTTGTACACGAAGACCATAAGTTCCCCATATTTATAAAAAAAAAAAAAAAAAATTTCCACCAACTTTTTCAGACAAGAAACAAAATATCTTCCACCTTTTCTTGCTACTTTTTAATCATTTATATAACATCCCTTTACTTATCCTTTCACCGTTTTCCTGATTCCCCTGAATGCTACGCACGTCTCACCCCAAACACTCCTTCCTCCTCCCGCCACGAAGTCGCGGCCGTCCCCAAAGAGAAATTAAACCATGTCAAAACTGATGGCCTTGATCTCCGCCTCTGCCCATTTGAAATGGGCTTCCGATTTCCTGTTTTCCAACCTCCAAATCTTCAATCCCAACAGGGAGCTCTGTTTTTCCGATCCCTCAATCGGCCTCATCACCACCCACTACTGCAAATCCGAAGCAAGCCCACAAGAAGATGATGACGACTGCTGCTCAATTTGTCTAGTCAACATGAAGCAACGGGAAGAAGTCAGCAAATTGAGATGCAGCCATCTATTCCACCGGCCGTGTTTGGACCGATGGTTCCAATCCCGCGGCGGCGGTCCCCTGACTTGCCCGCTCTGCAGGGACAACAGCTTGTTTCGTCCCCGGGAAGCTCTCGCCGCCGCCGATGGGGTTCGGGTTTTGGAACTGAGGTTGGTCGGCGGTGGTTCGGGCGCTTCTGATGACCAGGATTCGTGGTGGTTACGGTGATTCGAGGGGGAAGAAAAAAAAACGTTTCTTGTTTCCGATCCCCAAAAGATTGACGTGGCGGGGAACCGGTGGTAGGCAGGGGCGGCGGCTGGCGGTTATGAGGGGGCGGATCTCAAAGATGGCTGTGGCCAAGTTGTCATTTTCTTTATAATTTATTTATGTGACGTATGATGTAAGATTGTACCTATTTTAAGAAGTGTTGGTCTTTACTCTTTAGTCAATTCACTTATCACTTGCTTCCATTTATAGTAAGTTAATAATTGAAAATACCATAAACCCTTGGATCATCTCGGTTCGTTTTAGTTCATCGTTAATCAAACTAGGGCGATTGCATAATTGACGAATTAAGTCAAAAAGATATTATTGATAAACGATAAGAAGACCAACTTAGTTCAGCATTAGTCAAACTATGGTCAATAAGGTCGGTCAGATTCATCCTCCTGAATTATTGCACGATTCTCTTCCTTTGAGAGGTTGTACAATTCGGTAAAAGCATATATCTTTGAGATCTCATGATTTTTTTTCTTTCGACACCTGACACAATGGACAACGCTCCATAAAGCACGTTGGATTGTATAATCCAGTACGTTTATAGATAGTATCACGATTGAATATATTAATTTGCATGCTATTAAGTATGCATTGTTGTAAACTTATGATTTGGTTGTAGATTTACATGTCGAGGATCATACCTCTCATAACTAGGGATGGCAATTACCCACCCATGGGTAATTATACTCAAACCCAAGTAGATCCGTTGATAATGGGTTGGATGGGTGAAGTGCATATGAGTTTGGGGGTTTGTTGCACAGATGGAACGAGTTCGTTGTGCTCTCTACATAATGAGATCAATTTTCAATATATTTCGAGAAACTGTTTTTCATACCACCCCTTACCAACTACATAGCATATGGTAATTTCTTCGTTTTTAAGTTGTTTTTGCAAATGTTTGCTCAGAAAGAACGAGTTCATCATGATCTATTGGATCTACAAATTTATGGGTCAAAAAAATACCGGACCAAAAATTAATATTTTACCACTATGGTATGTGGGTGGTAACTTGTAGTAAACAATGATGAAAGTCATAAATGACAGTTAGTATACTCCTACTATCCTGTATTCAATCTTCTTACCATATTGGTATGTTCATACCATCGTGATACCCTTTCTTACTACATGGTATTAAATAGGAGCATACCATATGGTAATGACTAGTAAAAAATAACTCAATTTTTTTGTACTAAAAATATATCAAAGTAGATATCATTTTAAAGAACTCGTTTAATGTGATTTATCTGTGCAAAAAAATTTAAATTTAACTTAAAATGAGAGAAAAATCGTCCGTTAAAAATTAAAGGAGAAAAGATAAAAATGTTTTCCAAGAGAGAGAGGGATGTTGATATCATGATGATGTGGACAGTTTACTCATGATTACTCACCATAAGGTTACTGACCTGATCCGCTCCCTATGTTGGGCACTGAAAATTGGCTTGATCCACTTCTTACCCGCATCTAAAAATTAAACTTATATAACGGATTAGCTTCCTTTCACTCATGCTTCCTTCTTGATTCTCTCCGACCCTCTAGGATCCGGAGAGATCATGTCAATAAGTCACTCAACATATTGATTTTTTAAATATTACATTTCAGTAACCAAATTTATTTTTTATACAGTTTAGTACATAAATATTTTTTTACAAACAGGTCCACAAATTTTAGTGGAAACTGCTTTTAGTACCTTTCTATTTTCTTTATCTTGCATTACTTTATCTATACTTTTGAAACTTTACAAACATAACCTACAAATTTTAGTGGAAACTGCTTTTAGTACCTTTCTATTTTCTTTATCTTGCATTACTTTATCTATACTTTTGAAACTTTACAAACATAACCTACGTGTTAATATGAGGAATTTCATATCACTGTTTGTTGTGGCCCACATGATCAAAAAGTGATCCGGCCCTATGTTAATCCGATCGTTATAGGATCAAAAGATGACTCAACCCTAAACTAACTCTCCAGACAAATTGATCCCGCACTGTTCAATCAAATGATACAGAACATGTTTCCCATCTCTTCTCAATAAAGTTGGCCAACCCTCAGGGTGGGTCAGGACATACAAATTATTGGATATCTAGGACTAAACTTACACCTTGATGGCAATTTGAACCTACCTCACCGGGGATTACCCGACCTAACACGCAACATGTAGGTATTACACGACTTGCAGTACATGTGACGGGACATGGATATCTACTTCTGACACACCCTGCCTCACGCCGCCCCGTACTTGACCTATTCGGTCTCAATTCTTACAATATTTATTCATATTTCTCATATTTTGATTTTGCATCAACTAGTTAAACTAAATTAACCATTCTATTATCACTATTTTTCACCCATAAAGCATTTCCCCTTATTTTATCTTCAAATGTAAAATTCTGCATGTATTATGTTATCAGCCCCAACCCACACCTATTGCACGACGAGAATCGGTATTGAGATATCCACCCCACCGCGCCTCATTGCCATCACTGCTTACACCCCAACCAATCAGTCTTAATATGCGTCTTACTACCTGTTGGATTTCATCCTACACATCACCATTGTCAATAAACATCCACAATCTTTGGCTGCATCGCTGGACTGAGATGAGGCATGCAATGGATCAAACGAAAAACGAATTGGATCAAAAAGACACGAAGCACTCAAATAGTTGCTACGCACATCGCTCATGAACCCAAGTTCAAAACGACGCCTGTTCCTGCTCGCATAGCCTCCTGATGCCAGATTTTCACAACTCCACCCCAGCACAATCACAGCCAAGTCCAAACAAAACCAAACACCACCCTAGAGAGAAAAATATTGAAAAACTGGAAACCAATTTCTTCTGCACTACCATGCATCACTAGAAAGCTAGAACCAGGAAAAAACTGCACAAAGAATGGGACAATGGGCATTTCAAACCCCGGCCTAAAATGGCCTGTCCATTTACCTCTGTTTCATCTTTCTTCCTTTCTTTTTATGTTTTTCTTGTTCCTTTCCGGGTTGTTGCTTTTTTCTCCTGAAATCAATTGGTGATGAGAACGATCATCCTGGTCCAAAAACTGATGCCAAAAAGCTCTGTAAGGAATGATCGAGCAATGTAACGAATGCACCGCCTCGCAAGCAATCCACACCATCACGAATCATGGCTCAGCTATGTACCACTACTGTCTGAATAGCCTGCACTTGATCTTGCGTCAAGTTCTGCAGTTTCCAGCATTGCAAAAAGAGAACTTGAGGATTTATGCTAATAAAAGAAAAAGGAACCGCGAACAAGAGTTGCGACTTTGGATAGCTGATTTTTCAGTAAAATGCTTTGTTGATTGTTGAAGGATGGATAGGTCAGTCAAACCTGGCACAAATGGTTAAACAGCTGCCTGTCCTCCTTCCACAACTTTGTAAAGAAGTCGCCGAGGTAAGATGCCACATTAATCTGCCAAAAGAACCACAGCTTTAACTAAAAAAGACCAGATAAAGTGTTTCAATTGTGTGGGAACATCACACAAAAAACACACACCTGGTTTAACGGATCTCCAGCGCTTAATAGCTCTTCATCATCTTCATCATCTTGATCCTTTAGAAGAAAAACAAAAACAGCTGAGTTAAGTACTTGACATGAATGCATTACAAAGTGAAGCACCCATGAAAGAAGGAAAGAAAGACTCCCATCTCCTTTCATCAACTGACCCCGTCAAAAACTTTTGCCATGGCTTCAAGTTGGTCATATGTGGCTCTTCCAGATGATAGACCAGCAGCAGCTGAATACAGTAAATCTTTGTCCCCATCCTTGTCCTCTTCTTCAATTTCTTCCCACTCGTTCTCCTGCAATAGTGGTTTGCTGGAAGCCTGTAACTCCTTTCAACAATACTTATCCGAATGACGCAGGAAGTATAAATTTACCCAGTTGTACCTCATCATCATCAAACTGAACTTGTTCATGCATTTCAAGAAGTGTGTCTGCCAGTAAAGACGCTATCTGCAGTAACCAAGCAAAACAGTCTTCAACTAGGATACCAGAAATTATTGAATGGACATGTCTGTTAGAATAGAATTCATGGAGAACTACTTAAGTATGCTGCCAAGTTTCCATAAATTAAGTATGCTGCTAATGATCTTTTTCTACTGACGCACTTCCATTCACAAACCAGATTGTTCATCAGATTTCAATCTCACATTTCAGTAATGGGAGTACCTTGAAAGGTAGTGGCACCACGGTCCATTTCTCAGGGGTCACTTTAGCCTTTGAGCGTGTAGTTATCCCTTCTGTAGACTGTACCCACACAAAAATGTTCAAAAAGAAATTAATGCCATCAACAAGGAGATGACTAGCTGCGTCAAGCAAGAAGCATTCAATCAGACATCAACCTTGATTAGATGGCCTTGCACATTCACTTTTCCAAGCTGAGGGTGCCTGGTGGAGAGCAACAAAGCCAAAGCACTGGTTGTCACCTTAATCTGATAGGCTCCCTGAATCTCTCCTGTCAGATTTAATGGCTTGCCAATGTAAGATATTTGAGCTTCAACAATAACTTCCATTCAGGGCACAAAATCAAATGGTTTAAACAGACTACAACAAAATATAGGCATATTGGGTGCAGTAAAAATACCTTGTTGCTTTGTCCATTCTGACATGACATAAACAAAGGCATTATCGTGGTCCGCAGCTGGGATACTAACAAGCAAATCAATAAACTGTTCCACATTTGGGGCACTCATGTGGACCTGTTCATATTCAACACACAAAGAAGGAAAACATTCAGAAGTGCATGGTTGTATATTAATGTGCTGTTTATTCTATGTGGGATACAATCCTGAAAAGACAAGTGACCTTCGAAGTTCAAAGCCTCACTAAAGTATTGTTCACAGATGCCCACATTACCACTATGGTTATTATGTGCTATACCATGTAACTTTGACTTTCAACTTCAGGAATACTTCTGAAGATTCAGAATAGTAAGAGTCATATATGTACAGAAAACAATACCAATCTAGCAAAAAGAACTATCAATGAACTTCTCAATCCAGCTATTTGAGCAGACTGCATTCTTCTAACAAGAGCAGCAATAAGATCCGGGGTATGTTGTGCCATTTGCAGTGGTAGATGCAAAATAAGTTGCAAAATGTAATTCCCCACAAAAAGAGAACCGGAGCTATCAAGATTGGGATCAAGAAGCCTGCACAACCAGGAGCACTGGCATCAGAAACTGGATCTACCAATGCACATTATACAAGCAACAATACTTTTAATAAAATAGGCATCAGCTTGCTAATGGCATGAATCTGATTGTATTTAAGAGGCTATAGAGCAACAGATCCGCAAAATAACCTAACAAAACCAGAGGAACTAGAAAGATAGAAGTACCTTGAAGCTACATCAAGCAAACTTCTCATCGCAAATCCAGAATCAGCAGCCCAAGCAAGAACTTCCTGCCTTCCCCCAGATATAAATGCAGCCAAACACTGGGTTGCATTCTAGAAAGGATGCAGCCAAACAAAGGATCAACATTTCATAACACCTGAGGAAGATAGCCAAAGAATAATTGATGTGGATGGTAGAAGAAACTAACCTGCAGTTCACTATGGTCATCGTTCTGAAGAACAATCCTAGTTACAGCGTCGAAGCAAACATCATATAATACCCTCACAACATCCATTGGAGAATTCTGTACATTGCTATCACAATTAAAGCAGTTTTAGAAAACATACAAGAATTATCATATGGATATAGAGGGCAGTATGATATCATTTTTATCAATAATAACTTGCCTTCAGTAGCATGGTCACCAGATCAAGTGATCCAGCTACCAAACCATCGGGCTGCTCTCGTGGCTGGCAATTAGTAAAAAAGAATAGTCACAATTAATTAATAACCTCAAATGACCAGATCAACCATAAGAAGTTTATCAGCATAGTTTCATCTATACCTTGTTCAAAATTGGCCCCACATGAGGCAGAACTCGAGAAACCAATGGATGAATACCACCAGGTGCATTCTTAATTGCCTGGATAAATTACAGAAGAAAACACATTCAGTCAACTAGCCATACATAACATATACTAACAGAAAAATCAGTAAACTCTTGAAAGAATTAACACATGTAGTAGTCTGAGATTCTATCTAATGGTTGACTTTCCATGTTCCATCTATGCTCATGTTCCTGGCACAGAGTGTGAATTTTCTCATCATGTACTAATATCCGTTGCTTCAATAGAGTTAAGATTGATCAGAGCATATCCTTATTTGCTTCCTTTTCATGGCTCCAGCAATATTAACAAAGTATGTTTATCCATCTCCACGTGTCTTAAGAATATAGATCTCCTCATTAGTATCTCAGAAGTTAAAAGAGCTCAATATTGTTGACTGTGAGAATATCTTGTTATCCCTTGTAAACACTTCAGCATAACATAAAAAAAACACCAAAGACACTGTACTACAGTTCTAAGTCAATCATATGCTGCTACCCCGGATATTGCATTTGGATAACATTATGAGGAAAGTAGAAAATGCATGGAACCAAACAAATTCATAGACCATGAGAACTGTGAGAATATTACCTCCAAAACTTCAATCGCGTCAATACCAATAAAAGGATCAGAAATATGTGACGCCCACACATTAAGAATCACAGGCGAGATGATAGACTCAATTGGCCCAGTTACTTCGGCACCTAAAATATTTTTTTGACAAAAAACTTGAATATTAAGCTGTGAGGCAAAGAGCCACAAACTATAACAACTAATGATTAGTGCTCTACTGACCTGACTTAATTGCAGCTTGTAGTGTTTCAAGGACAAGGTGTAGAGTTTCATCAGATGCCTGTAAAGCAGAAAACAGTCAGCACATTGGAGTAACAAAAAACACTGAAGATGCTCTGCAATAAAAAAAATCGAAAAATACTGAAGATAGTTTAAGTCTTAAGAGTTACCTGTTGAAGTAAATCTTTAAGGGATGATAATAAACCAATTAGTTGAGGTTGGACAACTTCTCTGTTAGCTTCAGGCAGAAGCTGAGAAAGCGCTCGGCAAGCACCTACCTTCACAGGTGGGGGCCTAACACATGAAAACCAGTCATCAAAGGATGTGTCCGCACAAGTAAGCAATTCAAGTACACACAAAGAACACTCACACATCCATGCCAACAGCTTTCATTGCAGCATAAAGAAATTGCTGAAGGACCGTGTGGCTGATCTGTGTAGGATAAAACTTTATTATAAATTTACAAAATAAATAACTATTGCAAAATAAACTGAAAGTGTAAGTTACCACAGGGGAGAATTTAGCGACCAACGTAAGAACACGGGCACAAAGAAAGGGATATTCATGCGGCCCTGCATAAGTATCACAAAAATGGATGTATATTGGTATGGCATATACATAAATGAAGAGAGAGAGAAAATGTGGATGACAAGGACATGGGTTTAGAAGAGAAGGAACAAAGTGAAAGGAGTAGGACAAAATACCAATTCTAATGTCTTCAGCAACAAGCGACTCTATAAGCTTTCCTAAGCAAATGTTGGTACCCCCCGAACCCTGAACAAAGAATTCCATATTAAGAAAAGAACACCAAGGACATCCACCAAACATTTAGAAATTTAATAAATACCTCAGCTTCGAGCAGCTGATCTGAGACAGAAGCCAAAGCATATAGTGCTGCCTCCCTAATCTGCCAAATTTTTCGAGGTTACAGTTATTTGGGAGGAAATACACACAAAATCATAACATGAAACCCGTAGATTGTCTAATACTCATGATAACATCTCTAAACAACCTCTAAGGCTAAACAATGGGGAAATTAATTTTCAAATTAAAGAAATTGGAGAGTCAATTTCCATGAATCGAAATCAGGATGTTAATCCAACATATGGATGAAGATCCACAGCAATAGGTGGCATCACCATTCTTGAAAGCACCTTACAATTATATGGAGACTTAAGGTAAAGGAAGTTACTTTCAAACAAAAAGTAATTAAGGTAAAGAAAGTTAATGCAATCAAGACTGCCTGCCTGGATGTGATCCAATAGAATATATAGAAGACAAGGAAAGAGAGTGGAGAAGAATCATTTCCAACCTTTTTGGAGCCTGAACTGAACAGAAAGTGAGACCCTAACAGAACTAAATGTAGAGCAGGTGTGACAAACTACAGGTGATAACTCAAATTTCATGAAAAAACTAGAGAGAAAACAATAAACATAAATTTCTTTTTCTCCTTCAACGATAACTACTTTAAATCTGTTATTTCCAACAAACATTAACAATTTAAGGTATATCAGTGACTTGGAACTTCTTAAAAGACGGGTTTTGGAGTTGCAGTCCTTTCTTACTGAATTACTTTTGCACTACCACTCATTCCATGCCTCTTAACCAAAGAAGTAGAGATTCCAACTTGCACAGTTGTCAACAATTTCCAACATTAACAATTCATCTAGAAGGAAACTGCTTCACTTACTCTCCACCACACTGCTGAACCAGCGGCCTGTTCTTGTTGGGACTCGCTGAACCTTTCTCTCGTAGCATCTATAATCGCATTGATCCCTTCTACACCACAAGAATTTATCACCTCTTCCAGTAAAAGGGCACCTGCAGAGAGAATTTAAAGGAGACACATCACTATGGAAGCTTAAGCTTCTGAAAAGCAGAATCCATTGTTGTTATCCACATTACTGTACTATAGTAATTGCTTAGCGACAGTATCAGAGATTAAAGAATTAAGGCACAATTTATGATAACTATGAGCTACAAGTACGATTAACCATCACAAACAATATTTTCAGGCCTATGCTATCATGTTTTTGTCCGAATTTACAGATTAAAGAAACTAACATTCGAGTATCAAACACCTAATGCATTATCCTGTGTGAATACTCGTTACCAGTTTGCAGATTAGAGATAGGTAACCCGTAACCATATCTAGTAAAGCTCTAAAATTGGGCATCAAGTTGGTTTGAGTTTCCCTTTTACAAACTGTAATTGACAGCCATGACCAGGTTCCCCACACATGTAAGTTGTAACCAAACAGTTAATACAGAAGCCAATGATACAGCACAATTCAATAGGTTCTTCCTCACTCCATAATTAGCATCCTTGAGTGTGGAAAAGGCAACCGAAACTATTATTTAGTCAGTACAACGATTGGGCATCAAGTTCTGCAGATGTGATCAAGAAAAATATGTTCTTCCTTGAAAAAGTGCTTACCAGAAACACGACAACTATAAGTCTCGTCATCCTCATCAGCCACAAATTGATTAGCATCCATTGACCATGTATGAACCTACTCCAGTCCAATAGTCAGAAAACCCGAATGTAAGTGTACCATATTTAGGGCCTTCAGTAGTACATATGTAATGCTTCCAAACTCAATGGAAGACCTTGACTCTAATTTTTCTATAATATAATGTAGCAGGCATTCCCTTCCCTTGTCTCATTTGACACAGCAAACGACGATGGCTCCCACAATTTATCTCCTTATTTATCACCTTAAACGTGGATTTATTGGTCACTTCTCACTTCTCAATCACCAAACTAGAGTGATGTATCAAACAAGATCTCATACTCACCTACAATATGTTTTCGCTAGCTCCCCTATCCTTTGTAAAAGTTAAGGGAGCGAGACAGGATGAAAGTGATGGAATGAAGAAACCATATTATGTGGATTTCAAGAATTCATTTTAATTTAATAAACAATAAAAACCTTGCCTGTTGCTCAGTCATTTGAAGAAGTGCTACTGTATGATATACCAACTGCTTAACATTACTCAGAACAACCTACAAAAGTTCAAAGCATTGTGAGCACAGCACAGGAAAATGTTAAATGAAAAATAAAAGAATCCAAGTAGAACCGAGTGTGAGTCTTCACCTTTCTTAGCCTTGCACTGCCCACAATGGTTAAGAGAAACTCTAAAAGCTGTCCAACAAAAAAGATGTAAGCAACTAACTATTTAAATCTATCTGAGAATAAGGGAAAAGAGAAGTTCATTAGCAAATAAGCAAAGAGTATATGCGGAAGTGCTACCTTCAAGCTCATCATTCAACGAGCTCAAAAGGTTTTGAAAGATATGAAGTAAACTTTATTCCATTTCTAACTGTTCAGCTTACTCTTTGACGGCTTATATTCACTTAGAAAGTAATATACCTTATTAAAATAGCATGCAATATGAATAAATACTTTAAACAATATTTAGATACAAAAACCAATGGAAGTTTTATGTACCAAAACCAAAAAGGAAGCCTATATAAATTTTATGCACCGAAAACAAATAATTAAGCACATCGGCTCAAAACATAATTTAAACAAGTTAACTTAGATCAAATCCTTCCAGACGAATTTTCTCAGTGTAAGATACTACTATCTTTCGACATTTAATATATACAAGTGGAACCCTCACCTGAATGACAAATGAATCGAGACTTTTGTCTGCACCATCAGAGTCATAATTACCTTCAAATGAATCATCCGCTCCATCAATGGATGAGCGCCTATATACTCCCACGGCACTGACAAATGTTTGCCACAAAGGCTCCACAACAACTACAGTAATAAGGTAAACCAAAAGACAATTAAATATTAAAAAGAAAAAAATATATATATTCATATATCACTAACACCTGATAGAACTTACTCATAAATTCACCTTCAGCAAGAGTTTGAAAATTTTGAACCAACTGATTCAAGCATTTCAGCACCTAGTGAACAAAATTCTATCAGCATTAATTGTGACAACAACATAAGTCATCAAAACAGAATCAACACTAACCTCCATCCTCATGCTCCAATCATCAGGATCCTCAGGTTGCAAAGGCTGTCCTAAGATAATAGCGAACTGATCCATCCATGGCTTAAGCATTGGTGCCATCAGTGCCATGGTTTCCTTCTGAAAAATAAGATGTATAATAATATTATTAGTTGCAAAAAGGTATATTAAATAATAAATAGAACTTAAGCCGTGTAACTTATAGAAGTTACCTTATATACACCACTCATAACCCCGATCACCGAGACGCATGAGTAAACGATAGAGAGTGCTTTGGAGCGTAGATACATGTTATAAGTCTGCAAAACTAACCTCTGAAAAATTACATACGTCTACCAACATTTAAAAGATGAACCCCATGGGGTTGGCCTAATGTATGAAAACCATTTAACTAACGAGGACCTTAAGGCAAACATCGCGGGTATAACTTTTTAAATAGATCGATCATATCATTCGCCAAACCCCAGCACATAGAAGGGGCTATTTGGTCTTTAAACTCATTTTTTATGTCTTCTTTTATGCCATATGCTGTTTTACCGTAGATCAATGGCATAAAGATTTTCTTTATAAATTTTCGAGTGAGACCATCGCAGAGATTTTGAACCATTTGATCACTATCTTTTTTTAGAGTTATTAAATAACATGAAGAAGGAGAGTTAATTTAGGATAACAAATGAAGTTCAAAATGTCTAATTGATGGATGAAGTTGGTACGGAACTGAACTGCACTGAAATCCACTATGGGATCTATTCAAGCTAGTGTTCCCAGTAAAGAACAGGTAAAAGACAAGTTTGGTTTCAGAATAACTAACAAACAAAAAATAACTCATCTAACTATAATCTATGTCCAAGGTTCCTACACTTGGATATACAGAACAATTTCACAAATAACGATTAAACAAACAGAATTGGTCAATGAAAAGCCTCTTGACAAGAACAACAATTTGATGACACAGACAGGCTAAAACAGTAAAACTGACCTGAGAAGATGACACAATTGTATGCAAGCTTGGGAATAGCACAGGTATTAACGTTGGCACCACTGTATCATCCAGATCGGCAGAAAGAAGAGCCAAGCATCTTAGAGCTCCCTGCACTGCAAATGGAAATAGTTCTTAGAACTGTATTATAATCCTTAAACACCACCGAAACAATAAACAAGCATATGATTAAGAACAGAAAACATCTTATCACCATTATAAAAAAAAATGGAAAACATCTTACAACCTACAGGAATTCACATTCTTGCAAGAGAACCTATTAGTCAAGACCATTTGATGATTGTTAAGTCTGGTTGTTTGAACCAGAGACCAATGAGCTTATGGATGTCAGCTGGGGTCAGTAACTATAAGAAATCGATAAAGGAGCTTGATATAGCTCAGCTGTACTCAATGTACCATAATATTCTAAAAAGGATCCAGTTATGCGAAACTTTTAATTCAACATTTTCTACAGCTAGAAGACCAAGGTAGATGGCTTCTGCAATAGTTGAAACAAATTTGGTAGCCTTCGATAGACATTATTATGTGCCTTGTTTGTAGCAAAAACACTTGAGAACAATCAATACCTCACACAAGCAATGTTCAACGTGATTGCACAATCAAGTAATTGGCAAAAGGGGTCTCTAAGATCAGTCTTCACAAACTTCAATGTGATATACTACCTCCAAAAATGAAACATGGCATTCCATTTTGTAACCTAAAAGTTCTGCTACATGTCAGGATAGTAAACTTAACTGACAATGGCAGCACAAGGGGTCTCTAAGATCAGTCTTCACAAACTTCAATGTGATATACTACCTCCAGAAAAGAAACATGGAAAGCCATTCTGTAACCTAAAAGTTCTGCTACATGTCAAGATAGTAAACTGAACTGACAATGGCAAATGCCATCTTCTGATCATCATGTTAACCGTTACAAAGGACATCTACAATTTAACCTAAGCTGAGTGCCAGGAGGTCCATTTTTCTAGTTTTGCCTTCTTTATTCTCTGCCAAACATTTCAGTTCTCGCTTTTTTCTCCCATATCACTGTTCAGGTAGCTTTCATATTTTCATGCAAGCCTTTGTGTTTATCAAGACAGAAAGAGGTAGCAAAGGGATTACAACAAGAACATACCTCTGGTCATATTACTTTGATCTTTGATGAGAGTAAGAAGTGAGGGTAAAAGTTCAGGCCAATTTTCAGGCCAGTCATAAGCAGCTATCGATGCTATGGCCATACTAATTGCTGTGCAGATTTTCCGATGAGAGTCATCTGTCGAAGCTAGAAGGTTCCTACGTATAACTCCCTGAAAGCAAACAATCATAGAAGCAGTTATGTATGCTAATACCTATGTTGTTTAAGAAGGATAAACCACAATTCTTTCACGTTATCTGAAGTGAGTCTTTTAGAAGCCGAAAAATGAGACATTAAACACTGAGCAGTCAATGTAGGGGGTTTTTTTTTTCAACGGTAAGGTGGCAACTTAATGCATATTAGCTCATCCCGCGGCAATACTCGAAAAAGAAAATGAGGGAAAAACAACTAACTTAATAGATACCAGGATAAGAAACAAAGAAATCTCTTTTCCTAGTTACCTTTTCTTCCACAGATATTGTAACATCCTCATCTCCTTCCCAGTGTTTCCGAATGAATTGCTTTAAAAGGACTGCAGCTAGGTAAAGCTTGTTAAATCCAACAAAAAAGACAAAATATTCACATATGCTGCCCTCAAATTCTTACGTAATGCTACACGCACAAAATCAAGCAACCAAAAGACAGAAACAGACAGCTAGCAGTCAGAGGCTGCTTATTTTCTTATGTCAAAAGAGGATTGGAACATTCCTCATATGAATAAAAAAAAATTGAAGTCCTAGATTCCACAATCACTTGCTACACAAAATTTCAAGTCGGATTTGAATGAATATATAAAAACAAGCAGAAACAAGAATATCATAACAGATAAGCTGCAAGACAATAGAACAATCTACAAGGACACAATATTGCTAAGAGAGGATATCTGTCGCAATCCCAGTGAGAGATCCCTGTTTGCTGCAACCCTTGATAGCGCCCCTCCAAATCCTACAGTGACATACAATATAGAGATCGACTGTTATAGAAGTCACCATCAGTCTCCTAACAATTGCTTGCGAAAACGAGGGTTATCTCCTAGACTAATTCACCATCTCGACTATCGATCTCCTAATAATAGTTCGACTAAACATGACTTGCAAGTTAGGGTTTGATGCAGCAGCCTAACACTATATATTCCAACCTTCCACAACCAACAATGTGCAGAAATACATAGTCTAGCACACGGAAATGAGTTCCCCAACCAAGGGAGAAAGCCTATGCTGACAGTTCTCTCGGCTTAAACTATGAAGGAACCAGGAAAATGGAACTTAAAACATAATAATGTATGCTTTTTTTACATGCCTAGACACGTTGCAACAGTAAATCGCAGAAGGAGAGAGGCATAGAAGTTCACAATCCTAATTGTCGAACGCCCTTAAGTGACCAGCGAGTAGCAAATTTGAGTTCCGAATTCAGTTAAATTAAGAACTCATTCCCGCCGCGGCAAGATGAAGAACGACACAAAGGAGGGAGGGAGGGAGGGAGCGAGGGGAAACCTGGCTGAAGAGAGGCCTGATTGAGAGAAGTCTCTGCGAAGTTACGGACCTCCGGGTTAGGGTCGAGAGTGGCAGAGAGACAGTTGAGTAGCCACTGCTGATCCTGATCGATTACATTCGCCATGGAAGTTTACAGAGAGAGAGAGAGAGAGAGAGCGCCCTAATCTCTCTCTTCTTCCACCGTAGGGTGAAGAGAAGAACAAGTTTTGGTTCGTGGGGAGAGCCAAATTTTCCCGCGCTGAATAGAGAGAAAGATTTCTAGTTTTCTACTGCTTTGCAGCAAATTAAGGGGGAAAGGATATACCTGGGATTTTGGAGCAGCGATCGGAGGAGGAAGGGTTTATAAAGCGAGCGCCTTATTCAATCTGTTCTCTGTCCGACTGTCGAGTAATGTGAGAAAATGTAAAAGGGGCCGAAGCTAAAAATGTTTACGGGCCCATGGAGCCCGGTTTTTCCCGCCATTGGCCAGTGGGCTAATCGCAATGGCGCCGGTTGCAGTAATTCACGAAAATGAGTTCGACACAACTCAGAAATAGGGTGGGTTTCTATTTTCTACCAAAAAAAAAAAATAGGATGGGCATCGGTCGATTAGGTCTAAAATTAGATCGAGATAACTTGGGATCCAACAAATAACAGTGGAAAGAACTAGATCTAAAATATGGTTTGTTTATTTGGTTTGACTCAGTTCGGTTCAAAGTCAATTTCTGTCAACTTCTTCTTCGCACTTAAAATAATTTACAGAACCAAAATCGAAGCGAAATATACTTGATTTGATTCGGTCCGGTGTGAACTAGACATTGCCAACCTAAGCGATTGGTTAGGTTTAAATATCATCCAATCATGCAAGAAATAAGGTTAAGATGTGGATCCAATCTAGTATTAGAGTTCTCGTATTATATCCTCCAAAAAAAATGTTTCCAAAAAATTCAATCAACTTTGATATTATTTTAATGTGAAATGGAGCGAAGGTTTTCTTTACACTAATAGATAATTGTTAGACTTGATTCGATCATCGAAGTGGTACAACTTTAAGAGTAGGAATCAAAGGAGCTATTCATTGATTCGATCTAACATCGTAGAAGTTAAACTTAAGAACTCAATGGTTTAAGAGATAATGGCCAGCAATGTATTTTCTTTCGTGCCACAATCACTAACCAACGTAAAATAAAATTCATGACAAAATAATAAATACACATAATAGTTAAGAATTATAACTTATGACAAAATAATCGAGGATTATTACACAAGGACTATCCGTTTTATGTTTACACGATAAAAATATATAGAGGTTCATAAGAAAGAGTTGCATCTAACGTGAACATCTCCCCTACAAAATCATAGAACATTACTTCTTTTTTCCGTATATGGTTCATATCTAAACGGTACGAAGCACCTATAAAACGCTTTATACAAATGAAAAATCCATAAAGGTTAATTAATTATCTACTCCCATTTTGTCATGAATTGATGAATATGCTTAAACTCATAACTCATCAGAAAATCACCATCCATTCTCCTCAACACAAAACTCTCAACCAGCACAAAATAACCAAACCTCTTCCAATTGTTCATTCCACCAGGCCCGGCCATGGGCCTGTGCTGGTCGCCCCGCCAGCACAGGGGCCAATAATTTGAAGGGCCTCCATAGAATACAAAAATGCTAAGCACTAGTTATCAATAAATGGGCTGAATTATAGGCCCCTTTATGATATTGCTTTTTTTATTTAATCCATATGGGCCACGAAAATACTGCATGGGCCAAGGGTTAAAAAACATCCACTAATTGTAAACAAGGAATTTTCAGCCCTCCTTTCTTTTTCTTTGGCCGAGTCATCCACTGTATGCAAACAATTAAAACAAAAACATCCACTAATTGTAAAAAAAAGGAATTTTCAGCAACCATAAAACAAAATCGCCACCAAGAGTTTTTTCCAATGAAACTTTTCAACCAAATGCTATTTTGAATTATGTTGTCGTTGTGTCCTGTTTTGCTGTCTTCATTGGGGTTTCCCCTGTGGTTTTGTGTTGTTGCATTTGAGTAGGAGCGGTCTCGCCCGCTTTTTCTCCAGTTTTTTCGCTTCCCTTCTTCTTATCGTTTCCTTGTAGGATCAATCCTTTTGATCCCCTTGGCTGTATTTTTTTCAGGTTTTGTTTTGTTTCCTCTTGCAATATAATTTCATCACCCTTATAAAAAAATGTTCATTTATTTCCTAATGGCCCAATAGTATGTAGAATCTTGTTACTTTTTAAACAATGATAAATGATATTATTACTTTTCTTATCCTTTTTTGAATTTTTATATTTTTAACATTATTTAATAATTTTTATTTTCAATAAATTTGCAAAAAAATATTTTTAGGGCCAAATTTTAAATTTTCGAACAGGGCCTCCAAATATCATGGGCTCGCCCTGCATTCCACCACCACCTCCAAACTCCTCAACCTTCTTCACCCTATTTTTCCCACTCTCACCACTTCTCCACCCAACTCTTTCCTCCTCCCATTTCATCCTCTCCACACTCACCTTGCTCAACCCAACCCTCATCCCTTCCTCCCTTGCATTATTGTCCAATCCCGCCCTTCTAAACCAAACAACTCCATCATTTTCTCCCACCATATGCCCCACCACATCCCTTTCACCAACTCTCACGACTTCGGTCTCAATCAAAACATCTACATTCATGAACGAGTTGGTATTTCCTTCAATGCCATTGTTGCATATAAAAATTGGCTCCCACTGCTGCTCCAACGTTATCTCGTAGAATCTCGAACGATCGACTTGAACCTTAACATCCATTCTTGATTCCTTAACAAACAAGAAAGGACAGTACCATTTCCCCACCACCCTAGGCACCAAAATATGATTAATTTTCTCCTCAGACAACACAGAGTCAAAATCTGGAAGGCGAGCTTGGAGGTTCGAATCCACGCCCAGAGCTTCATCCAGCTTGAAATCGGGAGATTTTGAAGTATGGAGCGTCCAACCTTCTCTTCTTAGAAAAAGAGGGGGGAAGCCACCTCCAGCTACAGATTTGGCACGGTATCCATACCCTCCGTGCCAGTAACCACGCCGAGAAATCTCGAACTGCTAGTGAACGTCCTCTCCATGTGGCTCAAACTGCTCCGGCTTCCGATCCGAGATACAGCTGCAGAAGCAGCAAGTTGTCATCTCCTCCTCCGTCGAGTTTCTATGAGCTTCCCTGAACCAAAGGAACCAATTTGTTAGCACGACAACATACCCAACCTGTAAACATTTACAATCTAGTACTCACTCTTTTCCGTTAGTGTACATATTAGCCCCTCTGTTTTTTCTTTCTTACTCTCTGGGTTACAGAAAGAACAGAGCATTTACGTACGTACCCTTTGTGCTTCCCATCCTGCTTGATCACGTAGTAACGATTAGCAGAGAGCGGGTGATCGAGCGCAGGGATGAAGACGACGCGGTGGGTTTGGACGTGCGTCACCAGTCCAACTGGCTGGACGAATCGAACTTGGAGGTTCTTGTTCTGAGGGCAAGGCAGGTCCCTGACCCGGCTGCTGTTCACCAGCCCGCAGCACCTCTTCGGCTGAGCTTCTTCGTCTTGGATGACCAGCACGCCGGAGTTCGGGCCTTCTGGAGGCGGCGAGGAAGTCGCTGAAGGGTTCCTTCTATACAGAGAAAGAGGACGAGTCACATACATCTTCTATTTTCTTCTTATTATGGTGGTGAGATTATAAGCCAAAAGATTAATAACAATCTCTGGAGTTGCTTAATTGTGAGAGAGTAGCTATAGTAGAATGATTGAATGAATGGTCCTTATTATATAAAGGTATTTACGTTGAATAGTATAATGACCTCTATTAGATAGCTTGTTCCCGCGTAGCGAGGGAAGGTTCATTCCTTCATGTGAAGTCAAAGTCAAGGGATAGTTGCGCTTGCGTAGTTGATTTTAGTTGATCGAAAAGGGGCTGGCGCGGGGATGCGAAGCCAAACAGTAGATTATGGGATTTGACCGCATTTCTTGCATTGACTACTCGTGAAAAAAGACACTAATTGCAGGTCATCAATATTTGAAGATTTGTGATCTGATTTAGAGATGGACATGGGATCTTTCATAGAATTGTTGCATAATAAACTTGTTATTGTAAATTTTTTAACACAAAAACCCACGGGTACCCATGAACCCGCGGATACCCAACGGGTTGGGTTGGGTTTGAGTTTTTCAAACCCAGCGGGTTTTACCCCGGGTTTTTTTGGCTGATAAACCCATGGGTTTGGGTTTGACAAAACCCGCCCCAACCCGACCCATTGCCATCCCTAGCCATGAGGATCCATGGTTCAGATCTGCACCAACAAAAACAAAAACACCCAAGTGAAAAGCAATGGTGGAAAACTAAAGAAAAACGCTAAAATAACAAACTTCTGCCTTTCCTAATAATCTAGAAAGTCCCCGACAACGGCGCCAAAAACTTGACTCACTCCTACTGTCACTCTAGAAAATGGCCAAGTGTAACCACTTCCTAAAGCGTAGTATAGCGGGTTTGGGTTTTAATGTCAACCCAGGTCCTAGATGTGATGACTAATCAGTGAATTCTTATTATTTAGCGGTGAAACTTTAGTGAAGGTCTAAACTAACAAACAAGCAAAGCAATTAAACAGTTGTTTTCAAGTCGAGAGAGGTCACCCGGATATGGTTCCCCCTAGACTGCAGTTAAGCCGGATTGTAATTCACCAAGTTCAGTTTTAATGATAGTTATACTGCGGGAGGTTCTTTAACAGTCTGAAGTCTCGACTAAAGGTCTCCAGACCCTCTCAATCTGAGTCCCCAGCGGGCGACTAACCTCCACCGGAGTAAACAGATTGAGGCTCTAACGAACCAAACCTCCACTACCGAAGTAAATTCGGTACAGAATAGTGAGTTGGCTCCTCGACTAAAGTTGCCAACTCTCTACCTTCAATTAAGGGTGATCTATCAACCTAGGCAGATATTCTCTTTCTAGGTTAAAGCAGAAACAACAGGAATTTGATCAGAATTCATGTCATTCAACAAATCAAACCTCAATTGAATATAATCAAATCATAGAATATGTACTTGGGTTCATACTATCAGACCTAACATACAAATCTAGGGTTCTCCATACCCAGATGAATGAGAAGTTTACTCCATAGAGAGAGATGGGAAATCTAGCTCAGATACGGAAACCATACTGTGAAGGATGATAATTTACTTCTGGCACTCAATCGGATCTTCTCCAAGCTCAAGCCGGGCTCCAATGGTGATGAAGATCAAGCTATGGCACTTGAGAACTCTGGTTCGTCTCTTTCTCTCTCTAGGTCGCACTTTTTCTCTCTAAAACTCGGAACCCCTCACTTGTGGCTGGAAATTGGGTTAAAAGCTGAAAATCCCGATCACACGGCTAGGCCACACGGCCGTGTGACTTCCCCCAGCTGCCCGTGTGAGTTGTGCAAACCGCGGCGTTTTGATAAGTGACTCAGGCTTCCTACACGGCCACGACCCACACGGCCGTGTGAGGTCCCAGGCTGCTCGTGTGGGATTTGCCGAGCCTTCACACGGCCACAACGGGTCCTCTACACAGCCCGTGTGATTTTGCCCGTGCAATTTGATGTCACACGGCCAGGTCAAACGGCCGTGTAGGTTTTAGGCGTGCCTGTGTGGCTACATCAGCTTCCCGCGAAATGTCCAATCTTCGTCCAATCGACCCCGAACTCGTTCCCAAGCCTTCATTCACATGCTAGGACCTGAAATATCACAAACAAGAACAACCTAGCGTGAAATCGGCCTAAAACACGGGAATCGACATCTCCAACGACTCAATAATAGGGGTAAAAACATGTGTAATTATTGGTCTATCAGTCACCTGAGAACCCTTGTCCAGCGAAGGAGCCACCAGGTCAGCTTCGCGCGCTTCCCACTTCCCTTCAACCTTGGGAGTCCTGCCATTCCTCTTCTTAGCTCTAGAGCCATGCTTAGGCGAGGATTTGCAGGCTTTCATGGGCACCTCCTGCACAATAAACTCGTCCTCCAATTCTTCCTCAAGAATGAGGCGCCGGCGTCGGGATTGTTCCTGATTTTGGCTCATAGTCAAAGGGTTCAGGTTTGGAGCAGACCGTCGGGACACCTTCTGCTTTTCATTCGGCCATTCATCCCAAGGTTCCGCCTGAGGCACCTGTCGAGCAACGTTAATGGTGCTTCTCCCCTGACCCACAGGTCCAAGCATGCGGCTCCCATTCATTCGAGGAGCTTGAGAGCCCTGTTTCGTCGGCACCTGACTTTTGCGGCCATTATTTCTGAGATGGAGTTTAGGGGCTTTAGATAATGGGAACCGGAGAGGGTTACGTCCCTTCTGCACAGGAGGCTCGGTTTCCATGAATGGGTGATTCAAAGAGCTCATCCGAAGAGGGTTGTCCTCAACCACATGCATCTTTTTCGATACCACCTCCCGTCGCCCCTCAGAAGTGCGGTCTTGAGCCGGCTTATGATTAGCCACCATATTCCCTCGAACCTCCTTATTGATCCAAACCGATCGCGAGAGATAGGTAGGGAGCTGCTCCTCATCATCGAAAATCTTTCGACCCATCTTCTTAGTTGACATCTGTGGTCCAAAACGTTCCTTCCCTGAAGGTGGATCAAACATACAAGCTTGTCGAGAATGCCCTACTCGCCCACAATGGTAGCAGAAGTTCGGCAGATATTCATACTTCAATCGAATCCAGAAGCACCCGGTTTTCTCGTTGGTCGCCATAATCTGGGACCTTAGAGGCTTGGAAAAATCCAACAACGCCTTCACCTTGATGAAACGTTGATCCGAATCATTGCATGAAAACAAGCTGGCCTCTAGGACCCTTCCAAGCATGGCAGCCGCTACTTTGCGTCCAAACTGATGGGTGCAACACTCATCTTGGATGTCCCATAATTGGACTAGGAAAGGAGCTATAGCTAGCTCATCAAAAGTTCATCTACTAACAGACGGAGACCAGTCTCGTAAGTGTAGGATCTTATCGCCGATTACACATGGGGTTTGTTTGAGTATCCAAGCTTTAGCAGCTTTAGTTGGTAGTACGAACTCAAAGAGTCCGTGAGCAGCCGCTCTCACCCGGATTCGACCTCGTCCTTGCCAAGGGTTATTCACCAGGTCACGGATCTCGAGTGGAGAGAAGCTTTGTTCGGTGAATAGGCGACCGAGCAAGGAACAATCTTGGCGCACCTTCTCCGACTGAACATCCTCCAAAGAGAACTCCATGATCTGGTCTTGTGAGATACGCGACATGGCTACGAGCTGCAAAGATGGCAGGCTGTGTAAGTCATTCGTACTTGTGAAATAAAAGGAGAGACACAGTCCCGACCAGGGGAAGCAAGACAATGAACAAGAGATTTTGTAGAACAGGGTGGAGTCCACCCAAAGCAGAATATTAATATCTGCACAAATAATTTCCCACATGCCAGCATACAGTCCGTGCATTCGGGAATTTGCGCACCTTCTCTTTGCCAATTACCCCAAACGATGTATTCGTGAAAGTGAAGAATAACCTCGGCTAGGGCAGGGTTTTATAAGGAGTGCGCGACCCAAAGACCCCGTAACGGACAGCTGACCTATTTGGTTCAGGATTCTAATATGTTTGGTTTTTTTTTCAAATCGGGGGGGGGGGGGGGGGGGGGGGGGGGGGGCAAGATCACGAGTAATCCTCATTCGGTTACGAATTCGGATCGGATAGATCCCGATTCCGATACGAAAGCCCGATATTCCTGGGTCATTACGGGAAATCCATTGGTTGTCAGCCAAACGCGCTATCGACCCCGTCGCCATTGGAGGCGGCCGGAGAATCACCACCGCCCAACAATGGGAGGCACTTACAGGCGTATCAATCTCACGGGTTCTACTGAGGAAACTCGCCCCACAGCGGGGTCTAAGCTTAGTCATCGTGGGCGAGCCAAGAACAGCTACGTCCCTTTTACTAGGATTGCGCAGCAAAGATTGGAAGGGGGGGGGGGAGGGATAGTTTCACCTTCCTCCCTATCCACCTCACTAGCTGTTGGCAATTGAAATTTCCATATTGATGTTTTGAATCGCCTCCTTCGTTTAGTTGAAGGGACGATCGAATCAAGACCACTATTGACGGGAAGTCTCCGTCGTGTTTTGCATGTCACAACTGCACCTTCATCCGTTTGACCTAAAACCTCTTTGAGAAGAAAAGGATCTACTGATCCTAGTCTCTCCAACACCGCAGAAGCGCTTGGCGGTATCGTAGTGCCGCTAACCCTTCTTTGGTTGTCAAGGGCTGCCTCCAACACCGCCGTGAGGAAAGCGTACTAAAGACGACCGACGATGCAGCAGATTTCGAGGAGAGAGCTCCTCTCATTTTTCTTTTTTTAAACTTCTTGCGAATCAGTTGTTACAAACAGATTCAAACATAACCAAACACATTATTGAAACTGCCACGTCTTCATATCCTTGCACATTGCTCAACAATGACGAAGATCATACACTTACTGTGCTTCTGTGGGACGTTCGTTTGGAGCACACGCCTATAAAAATGACCGATGTTGTAGCGGATTACTTAGCTCCACCAGGACATTTTTCTTACCATTCAGCGAACACATTTTTCATTCTCATTTTATTCTCTTGGTTATGACAATACTTTGATCATATTGAGGGTTGAAACAAAAGTACAGAATGGGTC